TGCCATCTACAAAGTGAGTGGGTTTTCGTTTCCATTAATGTAGGCCTGTCCTCTGGCCCTCTGCCAGACTCCTGCTGAGGCCTCTCTCAGAGGAGGGGCAGCAACCACAAGTCTGACAGGTGCTAGTGTTTTTGGCAAGGAAAGGAGGATTCTTTTCCTGGTGTCTTTTAATCTCTCCTGAAGGGTGATTTCAATACACTTTGGTGTGTAGGGGATCACAAGCTCCCCAAAATCCTTCAGCAAGAGCAGTTTCAGGCAGAGGAGGTTTTGGTCTCACAAAGCCAGCAGCTCCTCTTGAGGAACAGAGATAGAGATTAAAGCAGCTTGCTCAGGCTGGAACAGTGCTGTTGAGTGTGCCAGGCAGACTGGAATCTGTAGTGTATCTTCTGTCAATGTTGATTTGTGAATTCTTCAAGTGCCATTTATCAACTCTCCTAAGTAAATCCTGTGCCCTAAAGACTTCGCTGTGCACTCTGCAACTACAGAAATAAGCTTTAGTCATTTATTCTTTAATTGAGCACACAAAAAGAAGCAGACTGGGACACTTCCTTGGATCTCCTGACACTGATTTGCAGTTCATTTACAGGAGGAATAGACCAGAACCCAAATAAATGGGGGAATTGGTTCTGGTCTAAATTTACTTTAGTTTTCAGGCACTCATTGCTACATTTTTGATGACTGCTGCCAGCCTGCCTCTGTGGCTCTCCAGCCTCTCCTGCAAGAGCAAGGTATCAGAGCCAGCAAACGTATTTGTGTTCCCACGAGGAATTCAAAGCCCCTTCCCAAAGGTATTGAGCGTAGCACCCAAGTCTCCTGAAAAACCTTAGAAAGAGCATTCCTCACTGTACTGTTGGTATAGATTATCAAATAGAGTTTTTGCCCTGGTGTGCAGTGGTACTCTCCAGGCTCTGGTAGGCAATCTCTGTGCTGTTCTCTGTAATTTCTGTGCTGGCTGATCACACTCTCCCATGACCTCTATACAAGGTGGAGTTTGTTAAACAATTAGGAAGGAGGGCTTTCCTAAGAGCCCCATCTTCCTTTCTGGCTCTGCTAAGGTTCCAGTGTTTTCAGAGAAGAGCAAAGATTATCAATCAGCTGTTCCAGTCCTAAACTATATCATGTCCTTCATCTGGAGTAGGGTTTCTAAAGTGAAAAGGAGCATGAGCATGTTGATCTTACACTGAGAGTGTACCCAAGCACTGGCCCAGACTTTCATGCTCACACCCTCAAGCAATGCTAGAGCACAGTTCATCCACATTTAACTCCTGTAGGCAATGTGCAAGAGTCAGGCCTGACTTTCCTGAGTTGCAAGGAAAGCAAGAGCCTTAAATCTGTGGAGTGTTTTGATCCCCAAGACCAGGAGGCCACAAGAAAGGCAGGTGGCACAAAAACATAGATAACCTTGGGTGGTATAGTGCATGTTTCAGGCTGTGGCACTAACACCACATGTGTTACATCTGGTATTGGTGACTACACTGGGCAATGAACAAAGGCCCAAAGTTGATAGATTGCCATCTCCCTGACAGTCAGTACTCTCATTTTGTACTGCCAGTCCTCAGGGCTGTAGGCAGTGGGGCTACTGAGACTGCCTCCAGTTTAGTATGAGCTCAGCTATAGCATGTATGAAAGACACAGCAAATGGATCATCATTCTTTATCTGTCTATGATCCTCAACATTGCAGCCATTTCTCTAAGAGGTATAAGGAAAAAAAGTGTTTTCTGTCTTGCAGGCCAGATTGAGGTTGCTGCTATGGCTTGAACAATTTTCTTGAAGAATCAATAGCCTAACTCTGCTGATACTTTCATTGGTTTTTTTTTTTTCCCCCAGGGGCTCTGCCAGATAAAGGAGACTTGTTTCTGGACCCTGCCATGGATCAGGAAATTGAGAAATTGTAAGTGGAATTGCGCAAACTAGGAGGTAAAGCAACAGATTAAAGGTAGCATGCTAAAGAAGAGTGGAGTAAAGTACTGTCTTATTCCTCTGCTCTACTACAAAACAATAGAGGAGCTAAAAGAGCAACCTGAACAGGAAGAACTTCTTTCTTTGTGGTGCCTCAATGCAGTTAACAAAATCCTTACAAAAGTCTTCAAAAGCAGAGGGGAAGAGTGTAACTCAAAGAGGGATCTAGAGGAAGCAGCATTCTCTAATGAACTGGGAAATTTTGTTTGGATGGTGAAAAGTAGGAGTGCTGGCAGGAACAAGGTCAGCCCAGATACGTTTAAATAGAAGATTCACGTAGTGAGTCTGGGAGGTACAATGTGTTCCTCCTCTATGCCATGAACATCTTTCCATCCCTGTGCTAGTTTTAAGTCTTTCTCCCAGAGTTCACTCCAAGAGTGCTGCAGTAGAACCTTTTGCAACATGCTGCTTAGCATATGTCTTTTCTCTTTCAGGGTAGCTCAGGTTTCAGGGCTTTCTGTCTCTGGTCCTGCCAGCTCCAGTGCAGACACAGCAAATATGCCAGCTCGTAATTCACCCCGGATTAACTCACCTTGGAAACCTCTACACCATCGTCGAAAAATGGATGCTGAGAGTGAAGGCTCCAATGAAGAGACAGACTCCTCTGAAAATTGAAGGTTGTGAGGGTGGGGACCATTCCCATCTTGGGCTTCTCCAGAAGCCACTGGAGGAACAGCACCTCCTCCCAGAGCATCTGCTCTAACAGTGGGTTCTGTCTGCATCAGCAGTGTGTGTTGCTGTGCTAATCCCCAGTGCTGGGTTCACCCATCTCTTCCCAGGAACAACTTGCCTTTTTCTCCAAATCCGTGCAGGAATAGTGCCTCTGCAGAAGCCACTTACAGCTACAGAGTTATGCTTCCCCCTGCTGGCAGGCAAGACAAGCCAGCAGCCGCCAGCTCTGCCACCGCTTGGAACCAGCCGGGTTTGCTCTCACCGGGGCTCTCCCTCCCAGTTCCGCAGTTCAGCAGGTGCTGAAGCCGCGGGAGTGCTAGTACAGGCCGCTTGCCAATGATCTGTTGTGTAGCTCTGCTCAGATTTGGCCCAGATAACAGAATGGTTAAATCGCCAGCAGCAGCTCTGCACTTGTGTTTCATTATTATTCCCAGTAAAGCTGCATCTGCATATGATCAAAGGTAAGGAAATTCCTGAAGTTCCTAGAAAAGGGACGCTTAGGTATTGCCATGCAACCTGTCTCTGCTTTGTGCTTTCTCCTCCATGCGTCCAAGACTTGCCAAAGCAAATACAGCAAATAAGCTAGATTGCAGTAAGTACTGCATGGTGCTGGCCTGGCTCCACTGCTGTACTAAGTGCCCTTCTGTGAGGTCTCCCCATCCCTCTAACAGCATATTATGGTCATTTGGAAAAGTGAATTTCAGATGATTTGGAGAAGAGGGATAGGGTTGTTAAATTCCTTGGCCACAGATCGTATGGCTTGCAAGCATACAGAGCACCTACTGGGGCTAGGTGGGCAGAAGCACTAAGGGAAAAGGAAGCAGTCATCAAATGAGATAAAACTGGGGTTTTTTGTAAATATTAGTATTGTTGGAGCAGCAGTGTAGCCCTTAAAACTACAAAAATAAGTAGCATCACATTGCATTAATGGCAACCAACTCAGCAGTTTAAACCTCCATAGACCCAAACGCTTTGTCTAGCCCAGCTCCTGCACCCCAGCTTGCACAGACTTGTTATTTTGGGGGGAACTTCTGTTTCTCATGCTTTGGGAGCCTCCTTGCTCCTCCTAGTCATAAAGTGCTACAGCACAGGCCACCAGGGCTGGTAACCCAAAGCTTGTAGCAAGGTGCCAGCAGGGTTATTTATTTATTGTAAGTTAAATTATTTATTCTCTGTGCATTCTCTCCCAGCTTGGTGAGTAGCTGTGACAGCCTGGCAATAAAGCACGCTGTGTCAGGCCTCTGCTGCGTCTTGGGTCTTCTGGGCTGCCCCAGCCCCTCCTCAGAGGGGCGGTATCAGGTGGGCAGGACCAGTGGAGGGCCCCAGCATCTTCAGGGCCCCAGGAACCCCTCCCCTCGGCCGGGGAAGGTGCCGGCCCAACCCCTGAGTGCCTGGACTGCCACCACACCCTGCAGCCAGAGGGCAGCCACACCACTGCTCCCTGCAGCCCCAGCCTGCCGTGGGTATTGTGACATTTGACACAACTGCGTCAGGAAGACCCAACCCTTACCCCCCTCATGTCCCACCAAAGTGAAACATCAGCACAGAGTAGCTGAGCAGCTGCCGCAGCCCCTCAGCTGGACGGGAGAGGTGAAACCCATGCCAGCCTCTTCCCAGTCACAGACAGAAGGCTCCAGAACAAACAGCCCCAGCCTCTCTTTTGCTAACAGTGTGTAACAAGCCCTTTCCCACCCTTCTTCTTACTACCTAGTCCTCAACATCATAGTCCAAGGAAGAGAAAAGCACTCTTGTTAAAACCAGGGACTAAACTAAACAGGATGAAACATCCTCACTGCTGCATCTTATGGTTAAGTCAGAGGCTCAGTACTTTGATCTGGGCAACAAAATAAACCAGGGATCCAGTGAATTTCTTTACTTCTTTACCTGGGCCTTTTTTGCTGATGATGTAGTTAGAAGCTAAAAAAATAATCTTTGATTTTTTTTTCCCCGCATTCATATATGTTGGTTTAGAAGACAGTAAAAAGGACTAGATCACAGCAAAAGGCAAACCCTGCAAATACAGAGGACTCCACAGCACCATGGATTGGGAGCAGTGATCAGAACAAAAAACAGTCATGTCATATGATGTTCAGAAAAATAGCATTCCCCTTTTCTCTGTTACTTGGTGAGCTAAGGTATGGGCCAAAGAAGGACGGGAGCACTGATGAGGGCAGCCCAGGAGTTCCTGTCATATCTTTTACAGGAATGAGGTTAACCCTGTAAGAAGGCCTGTCTCCACTGGCTAGTAGATAGCAGTGGGTATGAGGGCACATTGAATTTTAATAGAGTGGAATCCAGAGATATTAGAAAGCATCCTGGGCACAGCCATGTCCTGACCCCCTCCGCTTACCTTCTCCCCTCCCCACCCAACCCAGACAAATAAGACAATCCTGTAGAGTTTACTCCAGGCAAAGGTGGCATCAGTGCCTCTTGCAGGCTTCCCATTGCAGTCCCTGGGTCATCAATATGAACCATAACGATCCTAGGGAAGAAACAGAGACACCTCGCTACAACACCTTTGTGCAAAATCCAGAGACAAATAACAAGAAACTGGGGGGTTTGGTATTTTAATGCAGTGTGAGGTTATCTAGACAGGACACTGTACAAAGGCAGAAGGTAAAATGACCTTGACTTCTAGAATTCTGCCTAGAATTTGTGGGAGAAGGTGTATCTGACATGACAAGGTGTCCTGTGCAGCAGGAGGGTGAGGCTTGCCAAGTTCACTGGCCCCCTGCAATTGCTCAGCTATTGTACAGCAGTCAACAGCTACAAGAGACAGGTGTCTACCTGGGACTTCCCACATAATTTGAGAAGATAATAATAATTCCAATGGAAGCCAGGTTATGGTGAAAGTCCCTGAACGTGACAACAGCCTTTCTCAAGTTGCCATAATGTCAACTCACCTGAAGGGAGTTCATCACCCCATTGGCCAGGACAGCCATCTTGCCGGCAACTGATTTCACTCCTTGCTTGAATTGTGCAATGTCAGCTGCAGGCAGGACATTTCCAATAGACACACCACCTACAAGAATCAAGAGGAGTTAGCCCAGAGTCCCTCAGCTCCAGAAAGCACCCTCATCCCCTCCAGTTTAGGCCTTCCAAAGCTGCCCCCTTCCTCAACCCACTGAGTGCTAACAAACCTGAGTGCACATTGTCAGCCTCTCCAAATAGGTCTGCGGAGCTGATGGCACTGCTGCCTGAGAGCTGCTGCAGTCGGGATCTGGCTTCATACTGCAGGAGAAAACAAAACAAAGATGTTGTATAGGAAGGGAACAAAGTAGGACCTGAGCAAACAGGAGGAGGTAAAGCCAGAGCTGTACCAGTGTAAGCACTGTGGAATGCATCTACCTCAGCATCTGCCTCCCGCCCGAAAAACATATCTGAAGAGATAGCTTTAGCCCCAGCAAACTTCTGCCGAGCTTCATTGGATTCCACCATGGATGGCCTGTTCTCAATCTCCCGCCTACTGGTGGGTCTGAGGAAACAAGAGGAGAATCTCAGATTAAGCTCACCAACACAGTAAAGAATCAAGACTTCTGTCTCAGACCTCATCTAACCAAAGGAAAGCAAGTCATCCTTAAGTGTTAGTTGCATTGGGGCTCTCCTCTCCCCATCTCAGGCGGGTGTCTCAGCACTCAACGACCACAAAGGCTGTATAAACTTACAGACATGACAGGCAAATTAGTGTCCGAGGCCCTTTCACTCAAGGCCTTTTTTCTTGGGCTTGTCTGTGCCTGTGCAAGTTATTTTCTACAGCACGAGGCTCCTGCTACAGCAGCATCTGTGCCACAGCTCCCACACTTATCCTCTGTCCCCTACACAAGGGCACAAGGTACACTAGCAGTGGCAAGCACTTTACCTCTCTGAGACCGGCCGAATGCTGGAAACGGTCACCTCCGGTTCCTCCTCTTTGTCCATACCCCATGAAGAGTCCGTTTCCCATCGTGAGCCAAATGCATCTTCGAATGAGAAGGGACTGTACTTGTACCTAGGTATCAAAAATAGGTAATTTATGCCAGACATAAAATTCAGGAATAAGCAAAGACTACACTAAAGCTGTGTCTTACTTGGGGGGTCCGGATGTGAAGCTACCACCATCTTCAAACAAGTCCAGTTGGGAGCGGGAAGATTTTGCTACCAGCGGCGTCTCTTGTTCAATTACTTGCATCTCAGACATCACCGAGTGTGAAACAGAACTGCACAACAAACAGGCAGAGTCAGGGCTGATGGGTCTGACAGCATCCAGTCCCTACAACCAGTCTGCCTCAAAGCTGAATCTGGCCTTCACAGGCAGGGCAGGCAACATAAGTTTTGAGGAAGAATTGGGGGATGTCAGCCTCCTTCACCACTTATCTATGCTCCTTCAGAAGTCTTGACCTACCTTCTTAAAGGAAGGATCCTGCATGGGGACACCTGTCAAGCAGCAGGGCTCTAGTGCTAGACACTGACAGGCCACACATATCTGTGAATAAGCCCAAAGAGAACTAGAACCTTGGAACTGAGTCCCTATTCCTTCTGGGGCCCAAAGCCTTTTCAGAGAACAGCATATGAGCACTTTAACTCATCTCCTTATCTATTACAAGAGCAAACTACTGACTTCAAGAAACTTTTCCAGAGCAGGGTACTTCCAAGACACCTGTCTATACTATGCCATCTACAGGCAAGTACCTTCTGGATACCAATCCCATGCCCAGCCTCTCTGCTTGTTCACGTTTCTTCCCTTCGAGGTTCTGGAGTTTCTTCTCTTCCTTCTTCCGATCAAGCTGCAGTTCCTGATAAGCCAGTCGCATTGAGGTGACTCTAAGGGAAAGAGCCATGGTTGGTGCCAGCTCATTACCCTCCCTCGCAGCCCGTGTTGTAGAAGAACAAGTGATTAAGTAACCCCAACCACCCTTCAAAACAGCCACTTTTCACAGCAGCTCAGCCAAAAATCCTTGCACAAAAGCTATTGCTCGTTTTGCCATCTCCCTCTGCTGGGATTCAAGTCTTCTTTGGTGAACCACGATTTCCTTACTGTGAGCATCACAGTGTCTGTCTTCTCCCCACCCCTGCATCCAGAATGATCCATCCAGCTCAGCCTTTGCCATTTTCAGTTCCATCCAAAGGTGAACGGAAACACACAATACAGAAGTACCTGCTCCCTACGCTCTTCCAGGAATGCTAATTTGAATAAAATACAGCAGTATAACCTGTGCCCTGCTGCAAGGGCCATACTGGCATACAGCTACCGCTCTTCCTCTCATGCAGTATGTTCTCTAGTCACATTTGGTGGTCCTGGGGTGAACAGCATTAACCTCACACTACTTCTGCCTTAGGTATAGAAGGTACCCATCCCAAACAAGGCACTTACATGGACTCCTCGGCTTGTTTCCTGGACTCCACTGCCTGCTGCTCCCTCAGCTGTTCTGCCACCTGGGCTTGCCGCTCAATCTCACTGAAGCTCTGGCTGCTGACTTTCTGGGCTCCAAGACCTTTTTTTGCACCCAGCTTAAAAACAAGAACAAAATCCTGTGAATTCTTCATCCTAGATTGTTCATTGTAGAAGAAAACCTGAATCCTACTTCTTGCTGCACCAGTGAGGCTTTCAGTCTCCCTATCACCCAAGAGTTAATCCATCAGTGGCCAGCACTTAGACATCAACCACATATGCTTCAGACCACAACCAGTACTGATAATTTTTTTTGCAGTAATATACAGGCTGCTTAAGGTCTCCTTTCCCAAAGCAGATCTCTACAGCTTTGTTAAGCAGAAAGCAAGAATCAGGGAAAGGACAGCAGAAATGCAAGACATGCTTGACCTCCCCTCCATAAAAGAGCTCAGACATACCCCTTTCTTGGCAGCTCCCGGCTTCTTCTTTCCAATGAGGGAGGATTTAAGTTCTGCAAAAGGAGGGAAGCAGCAAATAAGCAGATGGGAATTAATTTAAGAGGCCAAAATTAGACAGCAACCCACATGAACATCCACCACAGTTCAGCTGCAGTAGTGTCCAGGGCACACCATGCATCTTCACATCAAAAGCCTGGGTGATTTCACCCAGGCAAGAAAGATGCACGTAGAAGCTCCACCAGTTGCAGGCTGGTAGCCTAAAAAAGCATGTCCATTTCTGGAGCAACTTATAATTGAATTAAGAACTGTGAATATTTCCTCTGAGTGTTATGCAGCAGGTATCAGGGTAGTTAGAGAAAGAGTAGGTTTATCTCATACACAAATTCAAGAAAATGCAGCTTCAGAGGCATGTGAAGGTCAGAGTCTCACCAATGCCTTAGGGACAAAGCAGCAAGAACTCTCAAGTTGTGTTTACATGAACATACAAAAACAAATGGACCTAAAGTGCAGCAAGCTGTAAAAGCAACAGGCTCCCCAACACCTTGCACTTGTCACTCTTGAGGGCATGCCACACTTGGAAAACCAGACAAGGGCCAGCCAAGCAGCAGATGTCTGGGGAAGTCTAAGAACAAAGCAGAGAGGGACTGCCCAAAGCATTTTCCAGCTTCCTAGAGGTAAGTCCAAAATCTTTTACTGCCCTTTTTGGGCTTTTATTTTGTGTGCGTGTGTGTGTGTGTCTTCTGACTTTCTACAGCCACATGACTTTTGTTAGCCCATAAATTATTCTTGATAAATTTTCTTTTATATTTTCTAGTCTTATTATAAGTCTTTTTAAAAAAGGGGATTGAAAACATTCACTCTATCTGAAACTGTTTTCCACTTGCTGTTCCTAACACTTGAATTGAGGTTGTTTGGGTTTATGTTTGGAGATTTTTATATTTCAGGAAACATTTAACAGAAATGTTAATACAGTCTCTTTACAGATACGACATATCTGGTTTAGATCTCAATACAACAATATAAGCTTTGTCTTGTTCTCTCTCTGTAAGCACAGGAAGCTAAAGTTAGGATTGAAGGCAGAATCTCAGGAGGGGCAAGCAGAGCTGTCACAAGCAGCCAGCGCAGGCCAGCTGTTAGCCAGTTACCTCCAGCAGGAGCGGCCCCTTGTGCTGACAGATACATGGACATGTCTGAGGAAGAGACGTAAAACATGGGGAATGAACAGACACTTGAGGACACAGGCTTTCCACCCAGAATGAACCCACTGTGGGCTAGGAGCACGCTCTCAGTAAGGGAAGAAGCTCCACCTAGATGTTCTGTGTGCAGTCAGGATAGTAATGGCAGGGGAGAATGAGATACAAATCCCTATTATTCTGAAAACTAAAAATTCATTTGCCTCCAAAGGTTCTGTGGGGAAACAAATAAAAAAAAAAACAGCCACGTGGCCCTGATCACCCAAGTCCTAGATATGCCAGTGGCAAGATTTGTCCAAAGCTCAAAACCAGGAAAACATGCTTTTGGGAAAGCAACAGCTTTGAACTCAATTATCCAAATGAGGAGGAAACCTCCAGAAAACTGTGACTTGGTTTTGGGCTTCAGGAACATCCTAAGTACTGGCTCAACAGGGAGATAAGCTTCTTTAGGCATTCTGGAAACTGGCTCATTGTTTCCAACTTCACTGAGCTTACTACTGAGCAGTGGGTATAAGAGCAAGACTGATCTGAGAGTGAAGAGTCTTACCTAGAGGAGCCTTAGGAGATGTGCTCAACAAGTCAATAGATGGACCTTGGCTGGGATCTGTGGGCACAAATCCAGAAGAGAACATTCAACAGATTGATTCTCAACCCTTTTCTTTCCAGTATGTTCACAGCTGCACTACATCTCTCCTAGCTACTCTCCACCCACATATAAATCCAGTTACAGCTTGAAATATGCAATTTTCCAAGCAAAACAACTTTATGTCTCCACAGAGCAAATTATTCCTTCTGCAGTGTTCTTAACACAGTACAAGAAAGCAAACGCTCTGCAGGGAAATATACAAAGCTGTTACAAATTACAGCTATGCCCCCGGGTTCTTGGTTTCCTTGTCCTTCACCCTAAAAATTTTTCTGTCTTATGTAATTTTCAGACCCAACAAATTCAAGGGTTAGAGAAGAATGTTTAGACAAATAATGTCTGAAGGCAGGGAACTGAGCCCAAACGGAGCAGTGTTTTTAGAAGCCTCCACTAATTTAACTAAACATCATAAGAGTGTGCAGAACTTCCACTCCTTCAGGTCTGAACCAAACGACAAGTTCAGCTCTTCCAACAGTGGTACAGAATTGTATTCTCCTGGAAATGAAGGCAGGTTCTTGGAAAAATTATTCAGTAAAGAACTCACTTGAAACTTCACTGCCTTCTGGTGACTTTGCTGCTTTTTCCATCTCTGGAGAAGACTGTGCAGGATTCTGGCTAGCATCTGCTACATCCCAGGTACTGGAAGACTGCAAGGAGATACTCATTCTAGTTACTTCCAGAAAATGAATGAACCAAACAATCCTGAATTTACTACAGGTTTAGTGACTTGTACTCAATTTTAGGCCAAAGGAAACTTATTCCAAACTTCAGACTATGCCTTCCTTGAACATAACATATGGACAAGTCCACATTCCCTTAGCAGGGACAAAAATGAAAACAACAAAAAGGAAGCTAAGCTGAATGTAAGGCCAGGAGGAGTGACAGAATCATTTGACAAGCTGGCTAATGTGAGGATTTCCCAGGTGAAAGGAAACAAGTTTAAATCTGGGAGAAAGTGTGAATGAGTTTTTCTGGAAAAAATTCAGCTCCACTTCCACTGTCTCTATTTGCCATACAGCCAATTCTGGCATTAACTGAGAAAGTTTGCCTGGCATGGTGCAGTTGCCCAAATCCAGTTTACCAGGGTCTACGCACTGAAAAGTTTCTTCTAAACCAGAAGTTCAAAGTAATAGCTTTGCTAGTCCTTGCTTTAACTGTACAAAGAAACTAAGCATTAACACAGCACACAGAGCATCTTCCAGGGCATAGGTGGTAGCTTTGAGTTCTTGAAACTAAAGATGGTCTCAAAAACAAAGGACATGGATATTACAGGGATTGTTCAGATTTGTGACTATGTCCCAGGCAGATGACTGAATCTGACTTCCTCCACATTACTACTGATTAATTATACAATTTAGAGTCTTCCAAGCTAAGTGGGACCACTCCTGGCTGAACAGCTGGCTATTGGAGAGCTATTAAGGCTGCCTGGTTTAGCCAGCTCTTCTCACCTGTGTGTGCTCCATGAAGAAATCAGCATCACTCTTCTCAGGGGAGTGCCCAGGGGCTCCACTCAGTCCATCTATAAGCAACTAAAGAGAGGAGAGGGTAACAAGAAGGTATCCTCCAAGAGTCAGCATCCAGCACTACCCATGTAGCACTCCAGAGCTCTCAGACCTACCTCAGTGCCGTACTTGGCCATGGCAGCACTTGCCAGCTGCCGGATCTTCTCCCTGTACATCTGGGCAGCTCGACTGTTGTATTTAGCATTGGCATCTGTGGTCGTACAGCCATGCTGGCGGAAGAAAGCAGTCTGAAAAGAGAGGAATATTCAGTCTCCTGACTGCTAGATCATACTCAAGCAAGCACTAGACAAACTCAACAGAAAAAGAAAACTTCCCAGAGACAGAGAATGAAAATCTGAGAACACAGCATAAACTAACCATTCATTGATCAGCTTTCTACCAGAAATCTCACTCCAGGGGCATATGAAAATCATCCTCCTTCTCTACAGAGAGATGATTCTGAGTCACAAAGCTGAGCATGAGCTTTCAAACCGATCAGTGTTGTTAACTTCTGTTATTTAAGAAGGCTATGCATCTCATTTAAATGAGGTGCAAAAAAATGAGACATCTGAAAACAATGCATGCAAAGGTCACAGTCTGATGTCCAAGCACACTTGACAAATTCCCCCCTTCATTACACATTTCAGGTCAGACTAGTACCAAGAAAGCCACACAAAGGAAAAAAAAACTCAAGAAACAGAGGATGTGGATTAGCAAGAGGGAAAGCAAGCAAAATGCCTACAGAGGCTCCTCACCGCGTTGGCATTACTGCCCACTTGCATACACCTCAGCTGGAACCAGTTCCAGTTAGAATCCAACTCTGTGGACCTGTGTGAGAACCAATTATTTCTATTAATAAAGACCAGGCAAACCAAATGCAAAACTGTGCTCTGGCCTAAAATGGTGAGATAGCTCACTACTATTCCAAAGTGCAGGAGGCAAAAGTGGAAAGAACATCTCAGGAATTTCTTTGCTCCTTCAAAAAATTAATTTCAACTTTTAAAGTGAGGAAAAAGATCAGCTTTTATCCAAATTTTGAGGATCTCTCCCTTGTACTGCTTGTTTAGAGGGCAGAGCTTGAGCTAGGAAAGCACAGCCAAGAACTTTCGTTCTACATGTGATCTCGCCACAACATGAGATTCATATTCAGCCCGTCCCTCAGGTTAGGCCAAAACACGTGACAAAGCAACCGAGACTACGTCCAAGTAAAGCTAAGGGACACAGAGTGTCTCATACCACTTACTCAACTTCTCTCCTAACAAGTAAAGGTCACAGTTCTCTTAACTTAAAACGCTAATTTTTGCAAGTACTGAAAACAAGAAGTAGGCTGAAAAGCCAACACCATCTTCCCCATTAGACTGATACCAAAAAGATTAAACAATATTCCTCCTTTTGCCTTACTCAGCATAACGAAAAATTATGTACACCACTCTGCTGCCTTACTGGCGAGATTCAAGCACCACACTCGCGTCTCTCTTCCTAAAATGCCAGTCCAAATAGCGTTTCTGCAAGGGTAGCGAAAGCAACATGTCGACGTTCCACTTGAGGTGCTTTGGAAACTCCATTTTGGAAGTGCTGAGTGACCCAGAACCTCCCGCACGCAAGCCCCGTAACCCCCGAGGAGATGGCTCGGCGATAAGGCTTCCCTCCCGATCCCGGCGTGCCCCCACCCGGGGCGGGGTGGCTGCTCCAGGCGAGCCGGCGGCAGCGCTCCCCACGCACCTGATGAAGCTGAGGTGTACGCCCAGGGACCTGTGGACGCCGGAGCAGTCGATGCACAGGAAGACCCCGTAGGTGATACTGGCCCAGCTCGGGTTCTTGGCGCCGCAGTCGAAGCACGACTAAAGCGAAGACAGAGGGACAGCCAGGTTGAAGCGACGGCTCTGCCGCTCCGCCACCCCCTGCCACAGCTCGGCGGCCCCGGCCGCTCTGCCCAGGCGCTCCCCAAGGGCCCCTGCCCGGCCGCCCCAACAGCCGCCGCAGCGCGGCCCGGAGCCCACCGGGGCCCAGTCGGAGCGCAGACCGCGGCCGCAGAGCAACAGCCGGCACAGACAGTCCGGCAGATCCCGGCCACTCCCCGCTACCTTGTTGGCCGGCGCTGCCCGAAGACGCTTGAAGAGGGTCTGAATCTCCGTCTTGCTCGGCTCTGCCGCCATGATCTCTCCTTCCCAGACACCCCCGCGGCGACGGCAGCCGGCCGGGCCCAATCGGTGCCGCGGCCGCGGTAGAGCCGTGCTGGGCCGGCCCTCCCCTGCGCGTCCGTGGGTGTGAAGGGCGAGAGGAGAGCGAGGTCCCTCCTTCCCTCCGCTCCCGGGGTGTGGGGCAGCGCCAGCTCCGGGTCCCCCCGACCGCTGCGCCAGCTGCCGGCTGCACGCCTCGTGGGGATCATGGCATCGCTGTGCGCACATATTGGGCTTTGTACGCCCCTAGAGCCCCGTGAGCTCGGAGCGCTTTCGGCAGTCCCAGCGCTGCCGGAGAGCCCTGCTGGCTGTGCCCCAGGACTGTGCTTTTGGGGCCCGGACCGAGACAGGGGTGCTTTAGAATAGCAACGGGGCCTGCCTGCCGTGGGTCATCTCAGAGCAGCGTCTGCAGCATCACCTGCTCCGGCAGCCAGCCTCAGGACACCGGGCACAAACTAACGGGGATTTGGAAATGATTTACAGAACCACAGAATGTCCTGAGTTGGAAGGCACCCACATAGATCACCGAGTCCAACTCCTGGCCCTGCACAGGATATCCCTAAGAGTCATGCCATGTGCCTGAGAACATTGTAATAACACTTCTTGAGCTCTGCCAAGCTTGTGCTGTGACCACTTCCCTGGGCAGCCTGTTCCAGTGTCCAAACACCCAAACACTTTTCTCATATCAAACCTAAATCTCCACTGACAACTCTAGGCCTGATAGTGGTCATTAAAGAGAAGAGATCAGTACCTGCCCCTACACTTCCCCTTGTGAGGATATTGAAAACCATGATGAGGGATGAGGTCCCTTCAATTTCCTCCAGGCTGAAAGACCAAGTGACTTCATCCACACCTGGTATGGCTTCCCCTTCAGGCTCTTCTCCATCTTCATAGCCCTGATTTAATCAGGGGAGACTTCTCGAGAAGCTCTTACTTGGCTATGCAGTAATCAAGGAATCATGAGCCAGTAATCAAGGTAGGGAAGTTGTTACTTCAGAGCAGAAATTATGTCAGGCCCTTAATACTGCTGTGTTACCTGCCTAGAAACAGTAGGGTATTGGCTAGAAAGTCATTCAGTTATAATGTAAGAAAAATAGAAGAAATATGGTTGTGCTGTGAGCTAGAAGTGCATATAGTCCACTTCATGTTTTAGCAAAAAAAGAAAAAAAAAGAAAAAAAGTGCAGAGCAATGAGAGGTTCAGGAGGATGAGAACAACAACAAAAGTTAATCAGTAACATGGTACTACAGAGATGGAATGCATTGGGATTTCTTTACCTCTGAAAAGAGGTTGCTCTGCAGCACCATCTTGTCACTAAAAGAAACTCTTAAATGTACTAATATCTGGACAAGACAACTTTTAGTTTAAATTTAAAGGCTTTCTTCACTCATTTCCACAGACGTTAAGGTAGACAATAGAATTCCTGGCAATGGGAACCTAGGACCCATGATCTTAGGAAGGTACATAAAGTATTGGGACATAGAGATGCAATCAGGAGCAACAGAGTTTTTAAGGGGAAAAAAAAGCCCTGCAGAAAACCCCTTGCAGGTTTAGCAGGGTCTTGTGTTCTGGGAATCAGCAAAGCTCCAACTGTATGGTCACAGTGAGACCTGATATGGTAGGCACATGAAGTAAGATGAGAGGCTTGTGGCTGACACATCTGATTGAAGCTGCTCTGAGATGAGTTTCTGAGCTGGATAGTGAAGCCTGATCTAGCCTGACAGAGCTCATTCTTGGCAGCAGTCTTCAGTACTCCCTGGTTTCTGTTGCTTTTATTTTGCTACCTTAATGGTGCCTGTATGCCATTTCTGGGATTACACACACATGTGCTGGGGAAGCAATGCAGGTAAAAGTAACTGATAGCATTTTCCTCACAGCTATTTTTAAATAAGTTGAGTTCCCCGATGCCATTCATGGTGCAGCTGTCCTGGCAGTCATACCAGGAGAGCTGATGTAAGGGCTGGCTGCGCACCAGGACAAGGAGAACTGTGAGGGGCTGTTCCTGAGGCCAGCAGCCAGGGCCCATTCCCACAGTACCTGACCACAGAGAGCTGGGCAGGCCTGGCATAGCCTGGATTTCACCAAGAATTGAGATAGCTGGCCAAGCTCATGGTGATGAGGTAGCTTGCAGTCAAACTGGGTCAGGATCAGGCCCAGTGATTGCCAGGTGTGTCTGTGGTGATAAGGCAAGGCAAGCCTGAGGTCAGGCTGATGAACCAGCCTACAGGTTAAGATCACCAAAGCACAGCCAGAGACTGTCATGCTCTAACGTAGCTCAGACAGGGCCTGGGAACTCTGGGCTGAGCTTAAATGCAAACACACCCTCCCCAAACCCCATGCGCAGGGGCTTTGGGCAGAGCTGCAGGGGAGGCTGCTTGGGACAGTGAAGGTCTGTCAGTGCATTCAGGGCCCTGACCGGTGAAGCTATGCAAGGGCAGGAGAGGGAGTCTCTGGTGCCAGGTTGTGTAAGCTGCAGCTTGTGTAGAGGAGGAAGTTCACATGAGAGAGTGCATTGGGAGTGTTTGTGTTCATGTTGGCTGGAGCTGCCTCAACCTGAGTTGCTTGCTCCTGCCCTGTCATCATCAGTTATGTGGTGCTGCTCCCCTCCTCTGCTTGTTTCTTTCTTGTGTTTGGGAATGGGATGGGCATCAGTCAGCAGGCGATGAGCAATTGTATTGTGCATCACTTGTTTTTCTTGGGTTTAATTCCTTTTTTCCTGTTATTATTATATTTTACTTTATTTTATTTAATAAACTCTTCTTATCTCCACCCACCAATTTTATCTTTTTCCAATTCTCACCATCCCAGTGGGTGGTGTGGGGTGGGTGGAATGAGCTGCGTGATGCTTGGATGCAGGGTTAAATCATGACAGAGAGAAAGGGCACATGCTCAGGAGGAGCCAAGCAGCCTCAGAGAGCAGTAGGTCAGTGTCACACTTTGTCTCTGCTGGTCTGTGCCAGGAGACCTGGGGAGATACAGTGCCAGCTCCTCTCCTCCATGGAGGAAGCGCAGTTTCTGTTCACTGCATTGTGCCCTCAGAATGCTTGCTACAGCAGGGTTGCTTCAGCTTCTCTACCTCAGCAGGGTCTCTTGCAGGCCTTCAAACCCATGCTGGTTGCTCCAGATCCTGGCAAGGCTGCTGATCCTGTCCATCAGTTTTGCATAAAAGCAGCAGGGAGAGCATGCTGCTGGTCTGAGAAATAATCAGTTTTTTGTTGCCTTTGTCAGTACAGGAAAGACCTCCTGCTGCTGACTGTTCCCTGTGAATGAGTGCTGTCACTGCACTGTTCTTGCTATTTCCTGCATCTGTTTTTTTTGCATCTGATGTGCTTTAGTGCTGAATTTCTGAGCTCCAAGCTGGCAGCCTGTTCTTTGGCTCTCAGCTTCCCTATCCATCTACATCCCAACTGACATCTACCTCTTTCCTCCTGACTGCTGTGACACCAGACCCTGATGTAGCCTTCTAATCAGAGATCCCCTTCTGTTATCCACCTCTGCCAATAAAAGATAGTTCCCAGCATTATCCAAGGCAGCAAAAGAAAGCAAAGGATGATGACCAGGCATGATCTTGGGAGTCTGCCATACCACCAGGGACACATTTTCATACAGAAGTCTGGTAATCTGAGGGCATGAGGTTACTGTGAAAGAGCTGGAGAGATTCAGGAGGGAAGTGCTGTGACAGGGATAAAACATGCCCTGAACTTTCAGGCCTGACCCAAAGGTAAGAAGTGCTTCTCTGTGAGTCTGTCCAAAAGCAGGGTGGTAGAGGGAAAAAGGGACCCTGCTCTTTTCTCACTGCCCAGCAAAGAACATGGATGATAGAACTGTGCAGGAGAGACATGAGGTGGCTGAGTCCTCCTCTCCTATTCAGACCCATTGGCCTCTCACACTTTTGTTGAATGAGAAGTTTTGGGAAAGGAGCTGGCAAATTCAGTAAACAACTACCCAAAAAATAACAGGGAGATGTAGTTTCCTGTAGTTCACAATGTTGGGTGGTGGAGTACTGGAAATCTACAATGATGCTTTGGGCAAAGAAGCCATTCCCTACACATATATTTTTTTCAATTTTTATTCAATTTTTTTTCCTCCTCTTTTACTAAGCAGTTCACAGACACTAACTAATCCATGTGATTTCCCTTGGGGATAGCCAGTAACTCTGGGAGAAATCTCTGCTCAGTGTTTCAGGGCAGCCTGGCTATTTTCAGTAGTGGAAGGAGCAAACACAGCCACAAATGGAAGAGAGGAAAATTGAGTAGAAAGCATTCTCCTCACTACAACAAGGGACAGGTTCTCAGCAGGTATGCTCCTTCCCAGCTGAAAGGGACAATGTGTAAGAGGATGCTCCTAATTATCTGTGGTTTCAGGGATCATATGGAAAACTTTTCCTTGGGTTAGGTTAGGTTTCTGTCAAGTCAGCTGAGTGCCTTGCCATGTATTCACTTGGATTGATGCAAGGGAAGCAGCTGGCTGAGGGTTGTGGCTGACCAGGCTGCCAGTGTGCTGGACTGGGTGTAATTAGTAGCTGCCTCCCTAGGAAAAAGTATAGCACCAAGGCAGGCAGTCATGTCAGTCACTGGCTCCATGCAATGCTACTAGCAAGATCTAGGATAAGGAGCTAATACAGTATGTGTACAGTGAATAAAGTTCACAACTTACACAATTTTACTGCAGTCTTGCAAATGTTGAGGTTTGGAGAAAAGCCAGCAAAGGTTGAAGGAACACATAATTTAAGGAACACAACAGATGGGTAATAGTGAGAAGTGTAGTTATGGATGGCTTGCTGTGATTTGGGGTTGTGTTGCAGCCAAAAGGCTGGTCCTGCTGCACGTGCTGTCCCTTGCACCCACTCTGGGAAGTGGCAGCTGTGGGTCGAGTTGTGTACCGAGCCCTGCTCAAACAGTGATTGTCATTGCACTGCTGAGCTCTCTTGGGCTTGTGCAAGCACTGAATAAGTAAGGCAAGGGCTAGGAAGTCTTGAAAGGGAGAAGAGGACTGTCCTTTTCTGCTGTGCCAGACAGCCTTGCTGGGCTGCCAGAAAAGCTGCTGCAGTTTGATGGAAAGGGTGATGGGAGTGTAGGGCCAGGGCAGCAGTGTGCTGCTCCTGAGTAGTTGTTAAGTGAATGTCTGTGTGTATATACATGAGTATCTTCAGGCTTTTGTTACTCCATTTCCAATATTACAATTAAATGTTGATTTGCAAATGTTTGGTAATATTACCTCTGGCCTGGCAGGTGCTTTGGACCTGGGAAGCTTTAGATATGCCCCAAAGTAGGGGTATGCTAGCTGATGTGGCCTGGGGTTTCCTGGATCTGAGGACTAGTTTTAGATCTTGCTGTGGTGGTCTGTTTGGAGATGTTACAGGTGTCCCTGCTGGAAGCAGGATGTTTGGCAGGGGACAATCACTCAAGTGATGGAAGACACACACATCACACCACATGGAAGCAAGGTGAAAAACTGAGAAATGAGTAGACCCTGAGCTCTCTTCTTTCAAGGGCAGTTGACAGCACAGACACTAACTTGCCTGAGGTCAGAACCAGCAGGGCTGTCCACCCGTCAGACATGACTCTTCCAAATTTTCCAGTAGGTGTGTAATCTCTCTTCCCTGCAGATCAGCCCACTCAGGAATTTTCTAAATAAACTGAATCCCTTTAGTACAGGGACTAGCTGCCTGCAGCCCCTACAAGCATTGGGAGTGTGCCTTAGGCACAAGACTGACCCATGAAAGAAAGGCAAGCAGAGTTGACCAGAAGACAAGGTAATAAGCAAGGCAAAATGAGAAAGCTCTTTTGAAAACAAAGGATTTTCAGAGTGGAATCACCACTGTCTAACAGGTCACTAGGACTGAAGGATTTGGGTGCAGGGGGAGTAGGTAGCAGTACTTCAGCTCCATAGGTGGCTGCAAGGTGTAGAGGGGATGCAGAGCCACTGGCGAAACAAACATCCATAGAATTATGGACGCAGCATTCCTTAGGAACTGTCTGGAACTGTCTGTGGTGAAGCCCTGAAGAGAATCTGATAGAAAGGGCTACCTACTGTGGTTACAGCTGGGGGCAGTGACTGTTTCAGTGTCAGCCTTCTGCTGGAAGCAGGAACAATAGATTCAGGAAGGAGGTAAAGTCAAAGGGGGAGAGTGGAGGACCTGGAAGAAGACTTCCAGCTCCTTGGACAGAAGGGAAATGCAGGAAGGAAGGGACCACAGGATGTGTAATTAGTACCCAGTGAAAGTGCTGAAGCTGAAGAGGAGAGCTTATGGATCCCCACACTAAGGGGGAAGAAGTGTTGAGCACCACTACACTGCATGTTGAGCTGTCTCAAGCTGCAGCTGTAATTGCCTTAAGCTGAGACACTGACAAACCAGAAACCTCTGCAAGGGTTCAGGGTTACTGAATGATGGAAAGCAGGACATGGCCACAAAATAGATGTGCTGGAAGCAGCTGAGGTGATTTGGCCTGAAATTTAGTTTGGAAAAGTTCACTGGAGCCATGTTGCTTAGTCAAGGTGTTCTAAAGATAACTAACCAGTTTCTTCCAGTTACAGAACCTACTTCACCCCCCCTTCCCCTCCCTTTCAGCAAGGATTTGTTCATCATCTCATATTAATCCTCTTTGATCTGCTAAGAACCTAGGTAGCTTGGTAAAGTCTCACTCCCTTGCAGCTCTGAGTTTTTCAGCTCCTTGTAGCCTGGACCTGGGCAGGGCTTTATCACATGGTTACAAGTTTTTTTGTTTGGGTTTTTTTTGTTTGTTTGTTTGTTTTTTGGTTTTGTTTTTAGTTTTTTGTTTTGTTTTGGTTTTTTTGCTTTTGTTTGTTTAGTTGGTTTTGTTTGTTTGTTTGTTTGTTTTGTTTTGGTGCAAGGTCCCTTTGAAGACACTTTGCCTTGTATCATGCCATCTCAGTATTCTTGTTTATTTTGCACAACCTTTGCTGCCAGCCTGCAGTGGGTATTTTCCAACCACATTTCCATGGGTGAGGATGGAGTTTGTGGCACTGGCTTGTCGCACGTTCAGCCCCATGATCTGTCAGCAGCTGGTCTCAGTGCAGTTACCCTAGAAATGGTCACCTATGGGTCTGAGTGGAGTGTTCAAGCCCATTTAAACTGCAACACCAGCTTCCTTGGCAAGCAGAAGGGATTTCAGCATAATGCCAGCAGCTCACAAATGCAGCCAAGGCAGCTCCAGTTCACGCAGAGCCTGCACTGCAGTGGGGGGAGCCTGCAGGAGACAACAGAGCTGGGCTGCACAGCCTCACAGCTGTGGCCTTGGGCTGGACCTGCAAACAGAGCAGAGCAGAGGCAGTGCAGGACATTTTAACAGCACTGACGGGTCTCTGTGCAGGATTGCCACATACTTGCACCTGCCTCGGTGCTTAGTGCCAAGCAAAACAGCCACAAGGACACAGGGGATGGGAAGTGGGATGGAAAGTAAACTAAAGCAGAAATGGCCCCAAGCTCCAGGCAGGGCTGTGGGAGTGCCACCCAGAGCTGGAGGCTAACCACAACTCAGCTGCCATCCCACTGCACAGCTGGCCTGTGGGCTCTGTGACCCAGATTTTGCCTACAGGGCAAAACCTTTACTGGGTTAGGCGAGCTCAGCTGCCACTTTGGGGAAATGGGTGTGATCTGTCATAGATAATCTTTAACTTCCTCTTCCTACAAGATTCATCAACAGGAAATTCAATTTTGCATGATAGTTCCAAAACTCTTTTCCAGGAAGATGCCAGAACCAAATGAATTATATGCTAACCACAGGTGTATGTGCTTTCCATAAGGAATGGCTTTATTAAAAAATAAAATATGACTAGATAATTATTCACTGTGTTGCCCATCAGGCACAGAGGTGCATTTGTATTTTTTTTTTTACAAAAACCATGGGGGAAGAACAGGCTTCACTGGCCTTCTGGAATTCAGGCACAGCAATTAGTTTCTGTGTACATGTCTCTGTTCACACACAAAACTTTTGGCATGGCACGGAAGTTTCAACTAGAACCTTTGTGGCTAACAAAACCTCATTTGCTTCTGTGGAAAACCAAGTATCCAGGTAGAGCTATTACTTTAATAAAAGATCATTAGATGTGGGTTGGTTTGGGGTTGTTTTTTAATCCTTCCCTCTAGCTAGATCTTTACTTCACAGGCTCTCTTTTACTAATCCAGATGGTTTTGGGTAGCCAGGACTAAGTGCCATGCCTGTTTCTGAGGTATAGTCCAACCAAGCAATTTTTCATTCTCAATGTATTGTCTGCTGTCCATTACTTCAGCTCTTGGCAGGAATTTCTGATGTGCAAACAGTCCTTAGAGAACTTGTTGGCATAAGATACAATATGTCACAATTTCTGGAAACGTTCAAGCAGCCCACTATAATCAGGTGGTCGTGTTTTCCTAGGACAAACAAGTCTGTTCAGACTTTGTCCTGTGGAATTTCAGGTTGTTTGTACTGTAATCAGAGGTTCTGTTCACTGGACATTTCTGTCCTTTAGCATGTTATGGCCACACCTACCTCCATCCCTAATTACAGCCTGACTAGAACTCACATAGAGTTAGAAATAAATTTTCAATGTCATCCTCTGTAGCTCCCTTCTACCATTTTTTGACCTTACATGAAAGTCTAGCATTGGTGTTTGAAATATGCAGGTTAATCAGGGAAACTTCAGTATTGTTTACAAGACATCTCAGGTCATTTTATTGCTGTTTTAATCTCAGCTCTCTTAGAAGCCTGGCAGGCCCTCTTCATATTCACGTGTGCTAAGACAAAGGAGCAACAAATCATTCCAGTGTGGGTCAGCAAGTGGAACACTTGCAATTACTGCACAACACTATATTTTTACCTGGGACACAGAACTGAGAGCAGACTGGATCTTTAAATAAATCCAAGTGCTTATACACCAACACGTCTAATTACATGGCATAAGCTTAGAGGCATCTTCAGATACTGAACCTAGCTAACTAAATTCATAGCTAAATCCAGGCATTTTTAATGTGTTGCTTAGATATTTAATTGCCTTTTGGAAATACTTTCTCTTTTATTGAAAAATGACATAATAGACTCTGAGCAAAATGCTTTAGCCTTTTTCTTTTAGTTTGCCTCTTCCCCATTCATGAAGTACATTGCTAGGGATATTTCAAGCAAAACTTTCCAACTGTAAGTTTCTGTGGTCTCCCATCTCTTTGTCCATGGCAAACTACATTCAAGGCATGCACTATGGTGTAAAAGGTTAATTTCTGTTGTCAGCCAGGCAATGAGATATTTGTGATACTTTAATCTTCATAAATTAAGTGTTTGAATGTCTATCCTCTCCTCTGTTTCAGTCTACATATTGGTTTACTAGCTGCTGTTAACACAATACTGGCCCATTTAATCTTGATGTTCACCCATGACTTAAGCCTTTCTTATGTGTAGCACTCTTTTTCCAAACAGCTCTGAAGCAGTTCACTCCAAGTGGTTGGTGGAGGCTCAGCTGAGTTCTGTGAGTCTGACTGAGCCAGGTCACTCACATATGCTAGGCCAGAATAAGAATGTCACTTCAGAAGGTTACTACAAACTCAAAATGCATTTCAGCAGCAGTTTCAGGCAGATGTACTAAGTAAGCCATTTTTAGGCAACTGCTTGTTGCCTTTGTTTCTCTGGCAATGGGAGATTTTCCAGTTTTTTGTTCCCTCAAGCTCTTGGGTTAATCAGTCCCTATGCTGGAATATACAGAGCACTAGGATCAGGTCTTCCCAGCAGCCTCACAGGCTTTCAAAGGCATGAGGACAGGTGAGATAAAGATGGATACATCCTCCCTGCTGAATGGCACTTAACAACTGGGCATAAGTGCACTTGAGCAATTCAGGACAAAAAGGGGAGTTACCCCTCTATAAGTCATTTGTGCTAGCCAGCAGGCAACTTCCACAGTGCAACCCTCATCACAGTGCAGGGGTCTTTGGCAAAGCAGGGAGTGCGCTTCTAGCCCTGTGTGAGCCAAGAAGATATTGGAAAGGAAAAAAAGAGGGTCTCTGCTGTGCACTAAGTGCTCTTGAAGAGAGGTATAGCCAAAATAATCTAGATGCATTAGAAACCCCAACATACACAAGTCAATTTAGGAATCCTAAGCAGAACAGCACTAGAACGTGGCTGTCATTTTAAAACCAGCCTTCATGTGTCAAAGACCATTCTAGTCAGGGAGCATTCAGTCAGCTCCAACTGGCTGCACAACAGGTCTGTTCAGAACTCATTAGCCTGAACAGCCACACCATGCAAGACAGAAGCTTCTTTCTCATGTGCCTCAGCTATACTCCTGGGGTTATCCCAATAAAAATGAGCACAGTGAAAAGGGATGTTCAGGTTGTAGCTGTGTAACTTCAACAGCTGTCTTATCAGGGAAGCCAACAAGCTTGCAGGTGAGGGATACTGAAAACTTATAAAATACATGGGAGAACAGAGACCTTTCTGCCAGTCAGCTTGATGGAGCTAAAAAGGGGAAACAATAGAAGAAGTTCCTTATTACACTGCATATCAAAAATTCATTGAACAGGAAGCCTGGAGGCAGGGCAGACCTCAACACCCAATGCACTGTGAATGCATGTGCACTGAAGTCAGGGAAGTATGCTTTCTCTCTTTTCTAGAGCTCCATGAAAACACTTACCTCCTTTCACTCAGTGCAAGTCAAAAGGGTCTGTTTCTTTCTGCACTCCTACACTACTGTAGTGCTCAGAAAAGTCTTTATTCATTCTTGTTTATTTTTTAGAAAATCCCTACAGATCTAGATGTTTAAATGAAGCATTAGTTACATGGAATATGTGCCTTTAAAGTCCAGAAGCTGCTGAATATACTGCAAAGGTGGGTTGGGGCCAGGAGTGACCCAGTGACCTCTGCAGGAGATGCTGGTATGGCTGTGAGGCACTGGTGGGGCAGCAGCAATCATGATCCAACCTTCTCAACATAATTGGCAGGATAGAGTCCAACTTGACCAGTGAGAAGTCGGCCTTTGCACCAGCCCTGCTCATCTTCCTCACTAATCTTCATTAGTTCTTCACCTAAAAGTAAGAACAGTCATTAGGAGGCAGCCTTGAGAAAGGTAGCATGGCATTTACCCACCTAAGATAACTTTATAAAAAACAAGACTATTGGTCTCAATCATCACACTCTTCTCCCCTTATCATAATGCAGTTTAATCAAAGCCAGAATCACTGATCTCTTCAGTATTTATACTCAGTACTATTACCTTGGCCAAGGAACTTAAACAGACCTTCACTTCTTCTATTCAGCAGCAGTAATCTTTTGGCCCTATAGATCTGCCTGCTTTTCTCTCCCTAAGGAACATGCTTACAAACCAGAGTTATCAGACAGATCTGAGACATTTTTTTCTTAGTGGCTCCTCTGATAGGCAAGTGGGAAGGAAATTCAAGAAGCTGCTAAGCTCTGGCTGGTAGGGCCCAAAATGTCTATTCCATGATGGAGTATCTGGTTTGGCCAGTAAGGCATGAGATCAACTGATTTCTCAGACTATCACCAGGAAAGACCTTTAACATTCCCACATCAACTTTGGGAGGGGCAGAAAGATCCCCTCCTCAACCAATAGAAGGTCATACTTCTGCCAGAGAGGGAGGTCTGACTGCATCAATGGGCACATCCCACATTGGCAGTGTCTCAGAAAGTCACTGCTGTTCCTTAATGGTATGTGTTGCTCAGAGCTGATTCAAAAAGGAGATGACTACAGCTAACAAGTCATACCCCATTTCATCTGTTGAGTGGAAAGAAAGAACAAAGTCAAGTTCTAGAGCACCCATATTGCAGGATATTTTAAAGCAACAAGTTAATGTTAGAAAGTTTACTAGTATGGTAACACTGCAGCACAGATATTGGCCTCAGGCACAAGGTCCTGCTACTGAAGGACTTCAGCAACTTCCAGTGGGTGTGTTTTGGAGAGCTACAGCACAGAGATACCATGTAAAACTCAAAACAAGCAAGATCAGAGACACTCCCAAGATCATGATGTCCACTTGAAGATGAGAGGAGGGCACATGAAAACTTAAATTTAACTAAAGGAAGAAAAGGGGACAGGTCTGTTTGCTCCAGCACTCAATCCTCTGCTGCAGGCCAGGATCTCCATTCATAAGATACCTATTTTGAGCAACAGTTGGCATAGCTGTTTTTTGCCAGCTGACCTCTGCCTTCAGTAGTACATGTCAGTCATGTGAGCTTCTCCCAAAATATCTACCTTCTCATTATTTGAAAAGACAATCCAGAACAGCTGGGTAATTTTTATATCAATGGTGCAAGGGAGAAACATTTAATAAAGGTTCAAGACACAATTCAGAATACATGCCCTAAGAAGAGGCAGGGGTCTGTTCTCCCTGCACTCTGACCAAGGCCTAGGCAGTCTCTTGCCATGTGGCCTCACTACACCTTGTGGTCTAGAAAAAGCTGCATTTCCCACTGTGTCATCCACCTTGAAGGACCTGGCAGTGGTCAGACCAAGGGAAGAATAAAGGTCAGTTTTCAAGTGGACATCCAATTCTTACAGAGTGTTGCAATCATTCATTGAGCCCAAGTGAGGACAGGGGAAGGTTAGTAAGAGATTGGTGCTTCTGTACCTGCTTTAAAGCTCAGCTCATCAGCCTCCTGTCCCGTGTAGTCATAGAGTGCTCGTACCCGTACACCTGGTACCTTCAGGTCTTCCTCATGCCCGTTGGCATCCAGGCACTTCTTGGGAGTGTCCTCATCGGACCACTCTGAAATGTCTTCCTTCCCTCCGCTGTGTGTGGAAGGTGAGAGGGGACAAGATGGTTGTTAGTGGATTGATCTTTCACCAACCTCCTCCTGAATCATACACCACCCTGACTCCCCCTGAGACTGCTATAGGACAGGGCGCAAGAGGCCCAAAAGTCAAGCAAGGGCAAACAGGGAAGAGAGATCCCAGGAGATAATAGATTTTGTTGAGAGCACCCTAGCATTAGAACCCTGAGGGCCAGGAGGATAACTCACTGCCACAGTATTTTTAGACACACACACTGTTCATGACCTCCTCCTAGTCTAGCAGACCTTCTTACACAAGGAAGGCCAGTCCTAACTGGACAGCCCAGCTACATCCAGAGTTATTCCAGCCAAGAATAAGACAGAGAGGAAAAGCTGTGTTTTGCATCCTCACGAGATGTCTGGAATTATGTTTTCCAAGTCAGGGATAAGAGCAGAGGGGAAGAGCAGCAGAGGACAGACACCTGGAACCCAAAAAGCCCTGCAGAGGCTATGTTCCATACTAACTTCACATGGGTTGGTGCCTTCAGGGTGTCATAGAAGAGACTGTTCTGCTCCTCTTGATAGGAAAACCTGTAGATTGGTAAATAGGGCCCTTGAATCCAATTAACTGTGAAATACAGCAGTGGCCTTGAAAAATCCCCCATTCTTCTCTGCTCAGCCAGAGTCTACCTTTTAAAGCAGGACAGCTACTGTAACAGTAGTTTGAGTCTGTTCTGCTTCTCCCTATTCTCCAGGCTTGCCTCCTGGCAAGGGAAGCAGCTATACTCAAACTTGTCAGGTACTGCTCAGCACCATACCAGGGAAAAACAATAAGAATTTGTTACCTTCATTTAGGAAACCACACAACCCCCAACTTTTCTCACCCTGTCTGGGAGGAAGAACTGGGGAAATGCATGCCAGAATCAGACAGCACTAGTCAGATTGGGCTAAATCTTTTCATTAGAAGGATCTTTACCAGGAAAGAGGCAGAATGTGCTAGACAAAAAATCCCAACAAAACAAACCCAAAACCAAACAGCTACCCTAAACAGCATTTTCTACATGGCCTTTTCCAGAGTGCCACAGGTAACACCATGGGCAAGAGACAGGAAATTAAAGAGATTACTCTTATCAACCCAACTCATTCACAACCCTAGGCAGGACTGTACTTTTCCTAACATGATGTATCCCAGAATTCAGCCTTTACCTTGTCTGCAGAGGGGTCTGTGAGACAACACCATCTCGTGCAGGCAAAATGCTGGTCAGTGTGACATCATCAGCCATCTTTCCACTCTTCTCCTTCTTGGTGATTTGCCTCTGTGTTTCAAGGGACCATTCCTGTCCAGGGAAAACCAGTAATATCATCAAAGCCACTCAGATAGAAACACTCTGCATCTTTTCTACCCAATACAAAACAACAGAAGACCAGGTTGTACTTCAGTAGCAGCTGAAGTGGTCAGCTCAACAGCCTTGCTGGTATAGCAGGCTCATTTCTGTTGAATCCCAAGGTGCAACATGAGAGGCTGTGAGAAAATCATCACAGAGAGCTGTCCCACGGTCCTGAGCACCACCTCCTGTTCTCTGACCCTGCAGTTGGATGGCTGGAGTATAGCTTGGCAGCCTGTGTGTGCCCCTTTGGGCAGCAGACAGCTTGCAACACAACAATTTCAGAAGAGCCCAACATCCTGAGCCTGCTGAGCAAAGACATGGTCTTTCCAACACAAGATTAGCAATGGCCAGTTTCAGCTGAGCAGCTAATTGTTTGGAAATAGCATTACCAGAGTCTAGAATGCCACCCCACCTCAAACTGAGGCCAATTCATCGCCATGCCCGGTCCATGAGTGTTGCGCCACCACTTCAGGTCCTCCTGGTTGTCTGCAGCCAGGATGACTTGGTGGAGATCCCGATACAATGCATGAAAGCTGCAACCAGAACAGACAGAACCACCAGTAATCAAATCCCTCAGAAGCTTCCCAAAAGCCAAGTAGGAAGGAAGAGATTAACCTCATGCACAATTACATAGCATCCTCAATCCCACAGGATTGAGCACCACCTATTCAGCCCTAGGAAAACACAGCCTCCCTTTCTGGAGAGTCAGCCTGGCAAACGGGACGGGCTTGTTTGGTGTGGCAGTGCCTAACAAGTGCCAGCACAGCTCATTAAGTGAGCACTGAAATAACTTGGCACACTCTCACACATGGACAGGGAGGTGGCTCAGATTTGTTGTCTATACCATAGAAGGGGCAGAGAAGATTTTTGGCACTGCCTGTTACCCCTGTGTAATGTCTGCTTAGGGCAACTCGTGGGCATTACTTCACAAAAGGTCTCTCTACTAAAGGCAAAATAGGAATGGAATAACCATCAATACTAGACGGCAACAGAGTTACTACATTCCTTTGCCTGGCATTACATACGTAGCTACATGAAGCTTTTCATAGGATAGAAGTACACACACAAGACAGTACTGGAGAGTAGTGAAAAAGGAAGGGTTCAAAGGCAGAAAATCCTCTCTGGGGAGCATGGTGCTGCCTACAATCACAGACCCCAGCACTGGTCACCCTACAGAGACCAAATGCCAATTCTAATATACACTTCAAAGGGGAAGAAGTGAGATCTGCCTGATGCAAGCAGCTTCCAGACACCCCAGAACTGGCACCCCTCACCAGAGCCTAAGCACTCCAGGCTGGCAGGATTCCCCTCTGCATCGGGGCCAGTACCTTTCACTGGTGGAGAGGTTGAGATGCTGGTGCAGATTCAGAAGCATCTCCTTGAAGAAGCACAATCGCTTGCGCTCTGCCTCCTGACAGCCCTCAAACACTTGCTCCATGTCCTCCATGTAGCGGGGATTGTAGCGATTCAATTCTTCCAGCATCTTCTCATACTGATCCTTGCACTGTAGCAGGAACACAGCAATGGTGAGATGTGTTGCCCCAATGGCAAAGAAGTAACAACCCTCCCTACTCTGGCTTGGGACTGATAAGTTTTTCCCCCCCTGGACTGTGGAAAAAATACACCAAAGAATTAAGAAATCCCACAGCTGATGTGCCAGTCCATTGCTCTCCTAATATTCTTGGAAGTTCCCTGTTCTTCCTTACTACTCTCTTTCATACAGGACCCTCCACACATTCCCTCTTGTGGAGAGACAAATCAGGTATTTTTCGTAGCCAGGTCTTCAGCTCTACAGGTTCCACTCCCTGCACCAAATCCCCTACACTTTTTTCCTTTTTTATTTAAATTCATGTATAAATTAGGATCTTGCATAACTCCAAAGACCAAGATCTTAGTTACTGAAGTCTCAGTCTAGCTCACTAAAACCTCACATGATGGGATTTCACATCTTACAGGCTTCAGCTGAGTAATTTCATGGAGGGACTTTGCCACCAATGCTTTTCCTTGAAAGGAGTGTCCTTGTGACCCCCATCCATAGAGCACACACACACCTTCTCAGCCTCCTGAGTGCACTTCTCTACACGCTCCTGCAACTTGCGCATCTGCTCCTGTGAGACAGACGAGTCTGCCTTGGCATGGCTCTCCCTTGTATGGGCCGTTTTCTCCTCCTTCCGGGCTGCATGATAGTTTTTCTTAGAAGTCTCCACCTGCAGAAGGGATGCAGAAAAAGCTGTGATCCTGCACACACTGATCCTCCAATACTCAGAGGAGGCATGTTAACATTTGTCAGAGTCTGCAGCAACCTAACAGGAATGCCAGTTCAACATTTAGTAAACAATGCTTCAGTGGGAAGAGGTACCTTCAAATGATCTCTTTTTCAGTGCTCACCTGCTGTGCAGGAATACAAAACCTGTTACCAAAGTCTTCCCATATGGTAAGGAAGTTATAAAACCACAAGAACATGAGATCCTTGAGATATCCATCCTTCTCTGGGAATTGTCTGCTACTCTGGCTAACCTAGTTTGTTTGCCCAGTGGCTCTTGAAATCAGGCAGCCAGCTCAACTACCCTTATCTCTTTTTCCCCATTCACACTTTGCTTACATCTTTCATCTTCTTCACCCAGGGTTTCTGGGCTTTGCGGAACCCATCCTCTGCATCCTTTGTTTCCTTGAAGCCTCCAATCATCTGCTTGTGGTAGGCCTCCTTCTGCCAGGCCTTGATCTTATCGGAATCTTCACCAGCCAGGTGGTTCCGGACAGCCAAGTGAATTTCACTCAGTTTGTCTGCAGCTGTCAGGAAGGCATGCCAGGCCTTTTCCAGAGTACCATACTGCGGACCTGCAGGAACAAGCACCAGAGAGACTCTTATACCTACTGCCCCCAGAACAGAATGCAAAATCTCTTCCTCTTACATCTACCAGTATGGAGTCACTTCCCCATCCAACAAGTCAGCACTGACTGGTCTCCACAGTTCCACCAGGCAGCATCTAGACTGGCTGTTAGAGCTGGATGAGGCGGGCATTTCTTTGGGCAGCTTCAACTGTCCCAGACGGTGCCTGCTAGGAGAAGATTTCTGTAGAAAAAAATCTCTTCCCAAATCTGGCTTAGGCTTCAGAGCAGAGAGCAATATTAATTCATGACTGAGGCTAGGCTTCTGCTCCACAGACCAGCAGGTCCTTTGGGACAGCTGTCCCATTGTCTCCTGTTACTTTGTGAGACACTATCAGTTTGAACACACTGCCACTAAATCACAGCGTTAGTAGTTATTCTCAGACTGGAGGAGAAGACAGCTAAGACATCCTTAAAGGGGGTATCTCCAGCTTGATTTAAGACATGGACTGCCCAAGGACTTGCCAAACTAAGCACAAAGTTTTTTTTATTTTTAATAACCATGCACATGGCGAGAGAACACATCTCCAAGTGAATCAGAGGACTGACTCAAAAACAGGCAAATACACAAAAAAGACACCCAAGAAAGTCGCCCCCCTTCCAGGGGAAGGCAAGCCTGTCCCTCAAGGAAGCAATGTCACCTCCGTAAAAGATAGCACTCAAAGAGGGGAATGCAATGACTGCTTCCTGTTCCCAGTCTGATATGCCAACTTTACCTCTCTCCACATTGGTCCTCCACTTACGGGACCATTCTGTGAGCTGCTGGGCATAGTTCTTCTCTATCTTGGCTCGCTCCTGGAAGCAGGAGATAAGGTCATTGCAGAGCCGGTAGCCATCATCCACACGTTTCACTGTCCGCTTGTAGTTTCCAGCCTGAAACATAACACAGCATTATCCTTGAGACCACACTGACTTTCACATTGCTACAGTACATACAACAGCAGGTCCATCATTGCACAGGGAGGGAACATGGGTCCTTCTGAAGCATCTGGGCTCAGACCCTCCTCTGGCAGTCTCAGGCAGACACAGCACTGGAGGGAAGAAGCTGAGATGCTTTGCTTGCTTCTCTCACAGCTCAGATCAATGTCAGCTGAACAAGGAACTCTCATGCCACAGTATCTATGGAAGAAAGACTCACTACTCCCTGCAGTAACACACAGCACGGCACTGAACCTTCCCACAGCTCCTCCCTTCCACTCCTCAAGGGCAACATGTCACCACAGACCTGGAACTTACCACCCAATTCCACCAGTGGGTGGTAAGATGACACTCCTACCTCCCTCACATTCCAATTATCCTTCCTTACCTCCCAGAAACTGCCCCCAGGAGCCTCCCCGCCAGCATCATCTTCTGATGACATCACCCTTTTTTTCTTGCAGCAGAGAATGTTTGCAGATTTCAGTTAACCTGAGAAGAGAGAAAAGTGATTTCCATCATAGCACTGGCTGAGCCTTTGCAGACAGCATAGTTCTCCATGGCTCTTGGAGCTGGAGGAGCCCAACTTGCTGCCCTTCAGTCAAGTAGTGTCATCAGTGCCACTCTAGCTGCAGATGGCAAGGTCCAGCAATGATGCCCAGGGCTGAACTGGCCTCCTCCCTCCCTGCAGACAAGAGGCCTCCTTGGCAGGCCTGTAACACATTGGGAAAGTTGTGGAAGACAATCTTGCCAGCCTCGGCTGTGCAGATATCAGACATGCTCATGAATTCAACACTCTTCAGCAGCACCAAATACTTTGGCAGAGATTCTGTTCTTAACCAAAGCCCTGGAGAGGGTAACAGAAACTGAGGTAGCTAAAGCTATTTAAAATCTGCCTTGAAAAACTTTATTTAAAGTCTTGTGTCAATGGAGATGACTCCAGCTTCCCAGTATGACTCAGGATTACAGTATTACAACTGACTGGGGAAAACAAGGCTGAGCAGTCAGCAGGCAGGCATGTCTTGAATGGGGAGGAGCCCTATAAGCTGCCCACCAGCTGAACTGGGCTTGAGCAGAAGTACAGAAATGTGCTGGGGCATACCCAGCCAAATGGCAGCACAGCACAGTTACCCATCAGCACTGCTTCCCTAGAAACATCCCTGCACAGCTGCTCTGTTCACTACACTCACTGCATTAGGCTCAACATCTAGATTGGAAGGTAAAAGGTTCCTGTCATTCTCTGCTGTCTTAGAACTTCTGCCCATTCCCCTGTGCTAGCCTGCACTGCCAGTTTGTTCCTGATGTGGTATGGAGCCATGAATTCCTTGGGGAGAGGTTCAGGGTTGTTCTTGTGCAAGAGTGAGAGAAGGAGTAACAGGACCCAAGCGCAGTCACTTGCTGACAAACCCAGTTCTTTTCAGACGAGCCCAGGTTAATGCAGCATGCATGGCCTTTGCTGCCACTTCTCCTCTTGCACATTCCTAGTTATAAAAAGCTTCCCTCACACCCCAGAGAGGTATCTGCTCATTCTGCCAGCCCACAGAGCACACAGCAGAGAAGAAGATCAGGTCAAGAGTCCACATCTCCCACCTCACGCAAATCCTTCTCGGTGGCGTGAGCTGCACAGTGAAGCGCCCCAACCCAGACTGCAGGAATTTCCCACATTTGGCTATGTTTGCCCAGTGTCATCCCATGGAGTGTGTCAGAAGTGTATTAGTGCTGTTCCTCTAGCCTTCTTCAGAAAGCTGGAAATGCTGAATTCCAGTCACTGAAGCAAGTTGTTAAATGGGATATGACATCCAGGTACACAAACCTTGAAAAATTAATTCCTCCACCATGCCATCAGCTGTCCCTGTCCTCCCTCCCCACATTTGTCATCTGACTGCAAAGCCATCTTACAGCCTCCAGGGCATGGAACTCTACTCCTGGCCCCAGTAACTACGTACCTGAAAGCTGAAAGCGAGACGCTGCCGCAGAGGAGCAGTGGGAAGCTGGCAAGTGTGCCTCAAGCTCTTCAGACTCTGAAAAAAGACTGGAGGAGACAGAGAAGGACACAGTCAGACACTCCTTTGCAGGGATGATGCCTGTTCTGATGCACACAAAGGGGTGTCCCTTTTCTACCAGCTACTTAGGAGGGGCACCCTCTGATATAGCAGCTGCACCCACTGTGCCTCCCGAGATGCCATGTTCCAGCACGTAGCAGAGATGCCAAATCCTTGTGTCACAAGATCTAGCCCCAGAGAGAGTTAAAATAGAAACACTGGGGTGGCTGACAGCACTGTGCAGGAAAGGTAGCATCACAACAGCTGAGCACAGGGAACGGCTTGGGCCACAAAGACCTAAAATAAGCACCCAGGCACCCCACATGGGGCCTTGCTCCCCCTCACTGGACAGTGTCCAGTTTAGCAAACCCCACTGCCTGCATGCCCTTGCTGCATACACTTTTACACAAAGATGCCTTTGGAACAAAGAGAGAAGGACACACACATACCTTCTCCAGTCTCTTCTGCTAAAGATGAAGATTTATACACAAGTCAAAGAACTTGATAACTCTACATAAAGAAAAAAAGAAAAAGACACCGAAATGCATATTCTGGTCTACAGTTTCTTTAGTACAAGAGTACCTAGCACTCCACTGGTAGAATGTGGCCCTCTAGCAGGAGAGCTTTTTTGTCCCTTGCTTCTGTAAGTTGTTCCCATCTCATTCTCAGAAATACTTTATTTTGCTATATGGTACAGGTAATGGTCATCAGCCTTCCACAGAGCAAAGAGAAGTAAAAGGTCTGCAGAAGCTAAGAAAAGCCAGGGCAGAACAAGATATTTTTATTTATCTCACATTTACATCCCTGGGGATTTACCTCAATCTAAAAAGTTTATTTATTAAAAAAAAAAAAACCAAACAAAAACAGGCAAAAAACCCCAAAAAACCTCAACTACAGACAAGCAGAAAAAAAATCCCTTCTCAGTCACCAGCATGCACTCAGCTGAGGCTAGAAGGTTAGGGCAGCTGAGAATAGAAACTGCAAAACATGGAAGTGGGATCTTCAGCCAGATGATAAGACCATTATTGAGAAGAAATGAAAGAAGGTAGGGAAACAGAAGGAAGGAAAGAAAAGCAGACTGGGTTTTTGCAAGCTATTGACTTTTGGTGAGGAAGGGGAAAGCAAGAGGTTGAGGGGGAAGAGTTGTGACTCTGAGTCGTCCAGGTCACTGGATTAAAGGTTATGGCTTCCCTGTAGTCCCTGAAAAAAACAGACTAAACATTCCTGAAATTGCTATGATTAAAAAAAACTTTTTGAAGGTATGTAAAAGTGTATTTAAAACCAATCCTTCCTTTCTTTCTCTTGATGAAGACATAGATCAATGATACATGACACATGAACGCTGTATCACTTTTTCCACGCTACTCCCCCATCCCCACTTTATCAGGAAGCAATGAATCACAAACATGCCTTCCATCTCTTCTTTCCTAGTCAGGCTGACTACATGGCACTGTAATTTGGGGAGTAAATGTGGAAAGCTGTTGTATGGCAGTATGTTTGTTCATTTGAGGGACAGTCAGGCTAAGCAAACATCCCAAACTCTGAATCCATTCTTTCTGCAGTTTCCATGTTAGAATTTGAGTCACATCTGCTTGCTTTCTCAGGAGTCACAAACTCAAAATAAGCATATTCACTAACAGGCTCTGAAATATAGTAGTAGCTGTGCTGGATCAGACTAAGGTTTATCATGGCCTCATAGCCTTTTTAGACAGCAGCCAAAAGGAGATGCCTTCCCTCACTTTGACAACAGAGCAAGCATACATGATGCCTCCCTGCTTGCTCTCCAAGCCTCTAACCACTTGCTGACAGGAACTTCCCTGAGCTGGATGTGCCACCTATGAATGAGCACTCAACAGATTTCTCTTCCATTAATTTCTTCAACCTACTTTTGAATTCATATGATTTTGCAGCATCTGTAATATCATGTGCCAAAGCACGCCACAGCTTAAGGCTTTACTGTAGTCATCAGCACGGTAGCTGGGGGGAAAATACACTGAAGTGATATTTCTACAGACTAATCTCCATGACTGAGTAAGCAGTCAGTTGAGTACATATTTCCATAGCAGTTGCAAAGCCTTTATAAAAATCCAGAAAAATCCAGCTTGGTAGAAGCAAAAAGGTCAAAGAACAAGAAGGACCCTTTCCTGCTGGCTTTTTCTGGACTTTACATACTTCATGAGCCCATGTCAGTCAGCAGATCAAATTGGATCTGCATGCAGACATAGGAAAGGTACTTAGTACTGCACAGAGTGGCTGAAAAGAGCAGCTGCTGCTGTCACCCTGAGTGAGCCCTGGATGAGCAAGTAGATTGCCAGTCCACCCCTTCATGCCAATCTATTCCTGAAACACCACATGGTGCGAGCCACTAAGTGTTTGAGACCAGGGAGAACCCAAGTTTGATGGGAAAAGTAAATATATGTGCCAAAGCCTGGACATTGTTTTACAGCAAAGTAAAGATGACAAGGATACCTCATGGACAGCCTGATTTAGCAAGAGCCACCAAATGATTCAGTAGGGCTGGCAGGGCCTGTACAGTATGAGCAACGTAGCTGGAGTTACATTGGATTGACTACAGTTTTGGAGTCTTGTATGTGGGCCAGTACCACACACACGACTCCTCCTGATGCCACTGCCACCTATGCTAAGAGGAGGCTATCGAGCAAATCATATTTGCAGGGCAAAGGAATGTTTATGCCTACCTTCCCATCTTTGTTTATCAGCTCTCAGATTTAAGAGCTACTTAAGACCTCACAGCAGCTCCTGCAAGATAAGGTCTCTGAAGAAGAGGGAAAGAGTGACTACATTGTCCTTCATTTCACACCTCCAGAGGATTAATGGATAAAGGCATCACAGACACCACTACAACCAGCAACATCAGGCAAATCGAACCATGCAAATGACAGCTACAACTATTTCTGCTTGCTGTGTTAGAAAAGATACCTCCCTTCTTCTCCCACATACCTGCTTCTCACTTAGGAGCCAACGTAATTATTAGGCCACACCTGCTATCAACCCCCTATTAAGTTATCAAAAAAATGCTTCTTGTTCTTTAGCTGCAGAAAGATGGAATGGCTCATGACTGTCTCACTGGTACTGAGCTCCACTCAGGAAAATACCTGAGGGCTCATTGTGATAGAGCTGTTTCTACCTTTAAGCCATGTTGTTATTCTCACTCGGGATCTAGTCAGGGACACGTCTCAGGCCACAGATCCCTGCCCTCAGACCAAGGTGTCAGGCTAAAACATTCCCTTTCAAAAACATGTGAAATCCATCATGCCTTGTTGCTTCATGCTTTCACAGCATCTGTGCAACAGGGTCCTGATCCACAAAGAAAACTTCTAGATCCAAAATAACAGCTGTTGTCCATTGAAAGCTTTCCCTCAGGCAGGTAAACCACAGAAATTCTCTTCCATCTATACCACATTCCAGTACTTCCAGCCTCCAAATGCCCAAGGCACCACTTCTATGCATTGCTTGACTGCCTCCTGAGAGTCCTTATGAGCAACTGTTTTCCTAAGTTCCCCAAGATGAAACCTCTGAACTCTCCAAGGGATCAAAGGGCTGCGGTCCTGCAGGAATTCAAGCACACAAACAAAGCTTGTATATTGCACCAGACAAGGCCTTCTGCTCAACTCCTCTTCCCTTTCCCAACTACAACAGCAAATGCTGGATACAGACACATGTAGGAACAAACTGAGTAACATTTATCTAGTAAGTGAGGCTTTGGTGAAGACACGTTTTTATTGTGGATCAATTTCTATATAGGTGCTAATGCCAAGCTAAGCAAAAGTTGTAATCAGTAATAGATTGCTACTAACCAATTTCCACCTCAAGACAACTACCACCAGAAAGCAGGAATTTGATATTTTCTGCAACCAATTTGTTTGATTCCCTGGTCATTCTTCTGTACAGCACCACAAGGCATTATTTTCCCTCCAAAAACACTGGCACTCTAGTATAGGTTGCAGATGAACATTTCAATCTGAACAATCCAACTACACAAAATGGCAGCCCCTCCTTCCCTTACGGCATTAAATCCCCCTTTTTTTTTTCCTTCTAATTTGTCAGAATGAAACTAGAGAGCTGAAGCCAGGAGGTTCCACGTCACTCCAGCAGTGTAACAAACTCGATTGCTGTTGGTACAGCAGAGCTAGGAAGGTCCCCAACAGAGAGAATGAAATGGGGCATGGGACAGGGTGTCCTTTCCAGACTCCCCAGCTCTGGAACTGCACATCCAGTAGCTCTGCACCAGTAACTGGGATGGTGTCCAGTAATGTTCTCTCCACTGCCATTATGTAGGAAGTCTGGCATTTATAGGCATACACTCACCTTTCCGAAGAGGGGACAGTTCTTGTCCACTGCTAGAAAGAATGCCAAGTAACACAAAGATCCCCCAAAAACTCCCTTAGAGGTATTTATCTTATTGCAGTGTCACGCCCTCAGCAGTCACCTGACTGGGAAAGGGACTAAGCCAGTGTTTCCCAGCCTCTCCCTAAGGACTGAAGCCTGCCAGAGCTGTCTAATACGGTTTCAAGCAAGATTTCAGCTCATTTCTCCAGCCAGGGAAAGGTCAGAGAGAGAGCAGGCAGAACAGTAACTACACACAGAGGTCACTTACAGAAGCCCATCTCCCAGCCCATGATTCTCTGGAGATCATGTGGCTGTCCACTAGCAAAATTCTCAATGATTATACCAAAATACTAAAACACAGCCAAGATTGAAGAGCTGACCCCCTGAGTCCAGACCACAGCTTCTTTAGCTTAGTCTTCACATTCAGATCAAGTTAATGTACTGATGACAGGCATTCCCCATGTGCCACCCCAAGCTGTTTTCAAAGTGTTCATGCAGAACTCAATCCTTTCTACTGTTAGCTATTCCCTGTCAGCAGCCAAGGCTACAGGACAGGCTTCTACTAATACACTGCTGCTGATCTAGGGGTTAAGATTCCTGGCTGACATAGCTTTACCAGACAGAAACTGTTTTACCAAGA